GCGCTCGCGAGCGCCGCTGTGGAGGCCACCGGCACAGCGGCGCTCGCGAGCGCCGCTGTGCCTTTTGTTCTGCAAATAGCCAATCTGGGCTGGCTGGAGGCCTGCAGGCGCTGCGGGGCGCTGCGCCAGGGGCTCAACCTCGCCCGCGGGAGGGTCTTCCACGCCGGGGTCGCCGAGGCCTTTGGCTTGCCGCTGGCTTCCTTTTCGGAGCTTTTGCCGGGGCAAAACAACCCCACCATCCGCGCTTGAGGCTTTTGCTTCCGTCTTGGCAAAAAAAAGAAAAAAAAACCAACAAAAAGACCCGCTTTCCTCCAGCTTTCCGCAGATTCAGGTACCAGCAGCAACACCCTGCTGCTGCTGCTGCTGCTGCTGCTGCTGCTGCTGCTGCTTTCCGGGAATCCGCTTTTTTCGCCGCTTCTCGGGCTCCGAAAAAGTCAAAAAGTCCTTTTCGAAGCTTTTTCGCTTTTTATTTCCAGCGGCTTCGACTGCGGCGAAGCCTTTCGGGCACTCAGCGCCAGAGTTGAACTGCGCGGCTGCCGCGCCACTTTAGCCGCCGGCACAGCTGAAAGCGCTTTCCGCCTTTCAGAACAATTACAACTTTAATATTCAATTAAAAGAAATGCAAAAATATAAATAAATAAATGAAATTGTTGGTAATCGCCTTGCAAACACTTGAAGAATGCAACGAGTTGTACTGGCGCCGGGAAACAGTGCATGCGGCGTTGTCCTACAGGCTCAGCAGACAGCTGAATATAATGCAGCACGGAGAGTCGAGAATGGAAATAAGTTTAACAGACAATTGAAAACAACAAAATAAGTTTTATAGACAATTGAAAACAATAAAAATAACATTTAAAACAGTTTATATGCGTGCAAAACCAGCCGGGGGACTCAGTCTTGAAACTGGAGAGCAGCGCATTCCCTCGTGCGTGTTACAGCGAAGATGGCGCTGGACAAACAGTAATGAACTAATTGCCTAGCATTGTTCATTTGAAGTTATATTTATTCAGTTTCAAACTCTGGTCAATTTGTGCAAAAGACGGGGCCAGTGGCTACGGGCGAGCGAAACATGAACTGAGAAATGCCTGTAGAGGAGGCTTCTTGAGCGTGAGCTTGAGGCCAGCGCCGCCAGTTGAAGTATTATATTATTCAGTGATTAAAAAAGAACTTTTGAATAAAATGGAATGATAAAAATGGTACAAAATGAACTTTAATTCGCTAAGAAAGCTGCGTTCTGGGCTGCGCAGCTGCAGAGAGCCAATGGCTCGAAGCGTTCTTCAGTTTCCGAGTTCGTGCTTGCGCCGCTGCAACACTCCCTCTCTTTCGAAAGCATATTATGAAATTTTCTTTTATTATTTTATAAATAAAAAGAGAAGAGAAGAAGGCGTTGCATTTATAGGCGAGGCCCTTCGGCTGCAGGTGTTTTCTGCTGCAGCTCAGACAGAGTCGGCAGCGGTGTGGGCGCGCGCGCAGGGCTGGGGCCCTCCAGCGGCTGCAGCTGCGGCCAGTTCAAACAGCTCTGGCCCAAACTTTCTTTTTATCGTTTTTACTTTATAGCATTTGCAAAATATCTCGAGATTTGGAAGCGCAGACATTCTCTGCGTTCGCTGAGCAGCAGCAGCAGCAGCAGCAGCAGCAGCAGCAGCGGACACCGCGGACTCTCCGCAGCTGGCTCTGCGCGTGGGAAACAGCGAAAACGAAGGCTGCGGCGCTCGTTTCGCCCGATCTTCCCTTAAAATAGCATTATTTGAATAATTGGAGTCTTTTGAGCGGGGCAAATAAGCGGATCGTCTGCGCTTTCCAGCTCTTTTGGCCGCGAAGATGGCGACCGCGCGGGACGCAGTGCAGTGCCTGATGCTGTGCGTGGCCGTCTTGGCCGCGTTTTCTTGCATTTCAAGGCCCGACTGCAACTTCCCTCTTTATTTGTACCTTTGGTGGGTCTTCTTCTACGTGCCTGAGGACAGAAAGGTGCGTCGCAGCGCCGCAGCAGCAGAAGTTGCACAGCTGCTGCTGCAGCCAACTTGCAAAGCTTCAGAAAGCCGCTGCCTGCGGCGCGCCCGCAGCGCCTCTGCAGCCCCCCGTAGTTTATTCCTTGTGCTGCAGCGGCAGCAGCGCTCAATGGTCTTCTTCATGATGCTTTCCTGCGTGCAAGACGTCATCTTTTTGTTGTACTGGCGTGAGTTTCCAGCCCTCTTTTCCTTCCCTTTTTTTGCAAAAGCGACTTTAAAAGCCTAATTTCAGCTTTTTTCCCGGAAAAATACCTCCAGTTCAACTTTTCAGTTCAAGTTCTGCTGCGCTGCTGCTCCTGCTGCTGCTGCTGCTGCTGCTGCTGCTGCTGCTGCTGCAGCACCGCGCTGGCTCTCCCACGAGTGGCTCGCCATCAGCAGCGCCGAAGAGGGCGTCCACATTCTCTCTACGGTCCTGGGCCTCATAGAGCTCGGCTTAAAGGTCAGCACTTGCAGTTTTGCTGCAGCACTGGCAGCTTTTGCTGCTGCACTTGCAGTTTTGCTGCAGCACTTGCAGCTTTTGCTGCTGCAGTGGCAGCTTCTGCTGCAGCACCTGCAGCTTTTGCTGCTGCAGTGGCAGCTTCTGCTGCAGCAGCACTTGCACGCTTTGCTGCTGCAGTGGCAGCTTCTGCTGCAGCACTTGCACGCTTTGCTGCTGCAGTGGCAGCTTCTGCTGCAGCAGCACTTGCACGCTTTGCTGCTGCAGTGGCAGCTTCTGCTGCAGCAGCACTTGCACGCTTTGCTGCTGCAGTTGCAGCTTTTGCTGCAGTAGTTGCGGGGCGTGCTGCAGCAGCTTCTGGTTTTGCTGCTGCAGCTGCAGGATTTGCTGCTGAAGTTGCAGGCTTTGCTGCTGTGCTGCTCTTCAGCAGCTCAGATCCGTCTGGGCAGCTGCTGCTGCTTCCTTACTTGCTGCTGCATCGCCAGCTGCTGCTGCTTCCTTATTTGCTGCTGCATCGCCAGCTGCTGTTGCATATTGAGTTGCTGCTGCATCGCTTGAGTTGCTGCTGCTGCTTCCTGAGCTGCTGCTGGCTCGCGAGTTGCTGCTGCTGCTGCCTTGCTGCTGTTATAAGTCTTGCTGCAGTTTCGAGCTCTCTGGGCAACCTGGAGGTTCTGCTGCGCCTCCCAAGTTGCTGCAGCTAAGAGAGCTGCTGCTGCGTGCTGCTTGCTGCTGCTGCTGCTGCTGCTGCTGCTGCTGCTCAGGTGCTGATTCTGGCGCTGCTGCTGGTCCCCAGCATTACGGAGAATACTGCAGAAATGGCGAAGAGGTGGAGCGACAGCAACGGCCTAATAAGGCTGGAAATGCCTGCAGGGGCCCCCCAGCTGCAGCAGCAGCAGCAGCAGCAGCAGCAGCAGCACTTTGGGAGGCCGGACTTGCTGCTGCCGCCATACTTCATGCAGCAGGACTTCAGCAGCAGCTACGCGCGCTGACCGCTGCTGCTGCTGCTGCTGCTTAATTTCCGGGAAAGCTCCAGTTGTTTCCCGACTTGTTTGTTTTTTTTGTAATTTTTCTGTTGCTTTTCAATTATTTAGCAGCAGCAGAGCTGCTGGCTGAAAAGAAAGTCAAAAGTGGCCGCCGGAGAGAAATCGGAAAAGTGGAAATGGGCTGCCGGCGCGAGGTGTACGTACACCTGAGCGCTGTCCACCGGCGCTGCCAATCGGAATTTATTTTCATTTCTTTTAAATGAACGCCAACTGAGAATATAGAGAAGTTTTCTTTGCGACTCTTTACATTTAAAACCTTTTTATTTGCAATAGTAGCGCAAACTGCAGAAAAAAGACGGCCCTAGCCTAACAGCACGTGCAGCAGCAGCAGCAGCAGCAGCAGCAGCAGCAGCAGCCCCGCTACAAGCAGATAAATGCCTCAGGGAGTAATTTTACACTTTTATGTTTTTATATTTTAAATTTATTTAATATATTTTTATATTTTAAAAGTGCAAAAAATGCATTTTATTCATAATGAAACACTTCCACCTGTGGGGTTCTATTTGCGTGCTTATAAATATAGAAGTACAAATATGTGTATTTAAATGCATATATAATTATAAGTACAAATATGTATATATAAAAACATATATAATTACCAATATATATTGGTATATATATCTACATATATATATATATATATATGTATATATATATGTATATATATATATACATATATATATACAATATATATATAAATATATACATATATAATATATATATACATGTATTATATATATATGCATATATAAATATATATAATTATAAATAAATATATAAATACAAATGTATGTATATATCTGAATATTAATATGCAAGTATTTACAAATATACAAACACAAATGCATATATATATATATATATACACATATATATATATATATATATATATATATATATATATATATATATATATATTATTTAAAGTTTATAAATACAAGTGTATTTATATCTACTTAAATATGCAATTATTTAAAATAAATAAATGTAAATAAATATTACATAATAAACCAACAAATGACTTCCTGGGATTATATATAAGCGCAGGCTTTGCTGCTGCTACGCAGCCGCTGCTGCAGCAAAGCAGCAAATAAGAATTGGCCAACACTGTCTCAGACACTAAACCCTAAACCCTAAACCCTAAACCCTAAACCCTAAACGGGAAGATGAGATACTTGCCTATCTCCCAGTCCGCTAAGAGTAGCTGCAGCCTTCAGCTTCTTTCCTGAAAAAGGGGGGAAAGGACAGCTGACTCTGCGCAGCAAAATTGACGCTGCTGCTGCAGCGGCAGCAGCTGCTGCTGCAGCTGCTGCTGCAGCTGCTGCTGCAGCTGCTGCAGCAGCAGCTGTCGCTGCTGCTACAGCTATTGTTGTTGCTATTGCTGCTGCAGTCGCTGCAGCAGCTATTGTTGCTGCTTCGTTGGAGCTGCTGCTCGAGCAGCAGCAGCAGTCTGCTGCTGCTGCTGCTCCGCAGCAGCAGAGTTCTGCTGCTGCTGCTGCTCCAGCAGCAGCAGCAGCAGCAGCAGCAGAGGCGAACTAGCCGTACCGCAGCACTGCTGCTGCCCACGTGAGCCCCGCGCCGAAGCCCGCTATGGCAATGACATCTCCTTTTTTGACTTTTCCTTCTTGGACCTGAAAATAAAACAATTTAAAACAATAAATGCAAAAATGAAATAAAAGTAATGAAATATTAAAAGCAAAAAGTGACGCGAAACGAACGTGGGGTGTCTGTACACCTCAGCTGCAAACCCCGTGCACACCGCCTTCGCCTCAACTCCAGAAACTGAAAACTCATCCTGCAAAACCCTAAACCCTAAACCCTAAACCCTAAACCCTAAACCCTAAACCCTCAGAAATAACCCACCGCTTCTGCCAGACAGAGGGGAACGGACGCCGCTGAGGTGTTTCCGTATTCCTCAAGGTTGCAGAGCACCTGCAGCAGCAGCAGCAGCAGCAGCAGCAAAAGCAGTAGCAGCAGAAATGAACATCAGAGAAAGACGCCAGCGACCACTGCTACAGCAGCAGCAGCAGCAGCAACTGCAGCAGCGACTGCAGCAGCAACAGCAGCAGCAGCGACTGCAGCAGCGACAGCAGCAGCAGCGACTGCAGCAGCAACAGCAGCAGCAGCGCCTGCAGCAGCAGCAGCAGCAGCAGCGACTGCAGCAGCAACAGCAGCAGCAGCGCCTGCAGCAGCAGCAGCAGCAGGGCCTGCAGCAGCAGCAGCAGCAGCAGCGGGGACCTTGTGTTTGGGGATGTTGAGTCTGTCGGCGACAGCGTCGAGAATGCGTTTGTTGGCCTGGTGCAGCAGCAGCCAGTCGACTTCTGCTGCAGCAACGCCAGCAGCAGCAAAAGCTGCTTCCAAAGACTGCGGCACTTTTCGAGACACAAACTTGAAGACTTCTCGCCCGTTCATCGACAGCGGCGCAAACGCCCCGCTGCTCACGCTCACGCAGCCCCCCTGCAGCAGCAGCAGCAGCAGCAGCAGCAGCAGCAGCAGCAGCAGCAGGTGGCGTTGGTTGGGGGCGCAGCGGCGCGCGGCGAGAGGGTGTACGTACACCCCAAGAAGCGCGAGGGCGCAGCAGCAGCAGCAGCAGCAGCAGCAGCAGCAGCGAAGCAAATCTCGGAGTTTATTTCAAAAGAAGCAAAAAGAAACTCATTTAAAGCTTAAGCGGCACTCGGCGGCAGAAAAAGCTGCTGCGCTGCTGCGCTGCTGCAGGCTGGGGTGTACGTACACCTGGGCGCCGCAGCGAGAGCGGCGCCTCCGCGCCTCTGAAGTGGAGTTGAATTTGCTTTTGTTCGAAGCCGTCGCTGTGCAGCACATAACTGAGGAGTCCGAGGGGCTTCTGCGGGTCTTGCTGCTGCTGCTCAGCAGCAGCAGCAGCAGCAGCAGCAGCAGCAGGAGCAGCAGCAGCAGCAGACAGCACTGCTGCTCCTGCTCCGTCTCCAAATAATATGCAAGTGTTTCTGTCCTTCCAGTCCAGCCAGCGGCTGAGGGCGTCGGAGCCCACGAGCAGCGCCGTGCGGTAGGGGCTGCCCGGGCTCGACAGGTACATGTTTGCTGCGCGCAGCAGCAGCAGCAGCAGCAGCAGCAGCAGCAGCAGCAGCAGCAGCGGCAGAGGCAGAGGCGGGGCGCAGCGTCAGGGGGGGCTGGGCGACAGCCCGGCGAAACGCGACAGACCCTCTCATCCAAAGCAGCAGCAGCAGCAACCCAGCAATAGCAGCAGCAGCAGCAGCATGAGCAGCAGCAGCAGCAGCAGCACAACCATCACCGCCACCACCAGACCACCACCACCACCATCACCAGAACACCACCGCCACCCCAACCACCACCATCACCAGCAGCAGCAGCAGCAGCAACAACAACAACAGCAGCAGCAGCAGCAGCAGCAGCAGCAGACCTGTGATGAGGCCGACGACGAAGCCGGAGCAGGCGGCAGTCAAGTCGAAGGCGGGGGCCGGGGGGTCTCCGGGCTGCTGCAGCTGCGCAGCCAGCCAGGGGCCGTCGCCGAAGAGGTCGTCGGGAGAAGAAGAGGCGTGAAGCAAAATGTCCAAGTTGTTGGCTTTGAGGCCGCTGGCTGCGAGGGCTTTCTTTGCTGCTGCCACGGACAAGTCCCGCAGCGCCTCGCCGTGCCGCAGCACGCGCCGCGCAGCTATGCCCGTCCGCGTCCGGATCCACTGCGCCGATCCGCAGAAACCACACGCAAACTCGCGTTCATTTCCGGAAATTCGAATTCCAAATGCAAAATTAAAGTCAGTTGAGTGCAAAAATCCCGGAGATCGCGCGCGGGCTCCGCGAAATCCGCAGCTTTCCGAAAATTCAAGTTTCCGCAAGCGCGGGGGCCGGCGCGGCCGAAAGCGCCGCCATCGCGCACAGAAAGGCCACAAATGCAAAACTTTTATTGCTCTACACATTGCAAAACGCGTTCGAAATTAAGTGACGCAAAAATGCGCAAAAAACGCGAAATTCAGACTTTTCGTGCAAGGCGCGAGGTGTACGTACACCGCAAACAACGCGCGCGCAGCGCGCGGCGACCGGATCTGCGCCCTGCGGCCCGCAAAAGACAAAAGAATTCACTGCAGTTCATTTTTTAGACTCACTTCGTCATTTGTGTCCACAATTTTCGCGAGATCGTCGTTCGTGATGCGCGTTTCCGGCACCGCTGCCCCCACCCCCAGAATCCTGCAGCCAGTGCCCACGCAGGAAGCCGCCTGGCCCCTGGGGGCCGCCGCGAGGGCCCGCGCGCCTCGGGGGGCCCTCAGCTGCTGGCGGACAAGGGGGGGGGGCCCCCCCGCGGAGAGGAAGGCCGCAGCAGCGCGGGGGCGCGAGAGGGGCCCCCGGGGCCCCCCGGGGGCCCCCGGGGGCCCCCGGGGGGCCCCCAGCGCAGCGCACGGGGGCCCCGCAGCCGCCAGAGCCGGGGCGGGGGCCCCCGGGGCCCTCACGAACTCAGAGAGGGCCCCCGAGAGGGGGCCCCCCAGGAAGAGAAAGAAGAAGAAAAGAAGTGGCGAGGCCTTTTGGCCGAGCCCCGCCATCGCCAGGGACCTGTACAGACAGCCGGCTGGGGGCCACTGGCATCAGGGAAGGGCGGAGGGAATTTTAAAAGCAGCAAAAATAAAAAAAGAAATTCGAAGAAGACAAAGACATTGCTGCAGCGGGGGCCCACGGAGTGTCTGGGGCCCGCAGCAGCAGCAGCAGCAGCAGCAGCAGAGTTGGCCGCGAGACTGGGGCTTTAAACGCGCGTAAAACGCCATCAATTGATTTGCTGCTGCTGCTGCTGCTGCTGCTGCGCTGCTGCTGCTGCTGCTCGCCGCCGCGAGCCGCAGCCACGCAGCCGGGGCTGTGAGACTGCGTGGATAGCAGCGCGCTGCAGCAGCAGCAGCAAATGCGGCAGCAGCAGCAGCAGCAAATTGTTTTTGAGTTAATTTTATTATTTATTTTCATTTATTTCATTTTTAAACTCCAAAGACTTCCAAAAAAGACACTTCGCCCCATCGCAAAATCCCACTGAGACAAACTCGCCCGCCAGTCGCCACGCCGAGGCCGCGCATGCAAGGAGGCTTTTCGAAGTTAATTTTTATTTTTTAAATCCAAAACTTTGAATCAATTCCACTTTTAAATTGTTTTGCTGCTGCTGCTGCTGCTGCTGCTGCTGTTGCTGCTGCTGCTGCTGCTGTTGCTGCTGCTGTGCGCCGCCTCGTTGAGGTGTACGTACAGCTGCTGCGGTGTCTGCGGCGCGCTTCCCGTGCAGCTCTTTGCAGGTCTTTTCTTTCCTCGCAGTTCTTTTTAAATAAAAATAATTGAAAATATTTATTTTTAAATTATTAAAACTTTTATTTTTTCGAGCCCAACAAGTATTAAAAACTCGAAGTGGGGGCCCCCCAGCTTCTTTTGAGGGGCCCCTCGTAGCCCAGGAAGCAGCAGCAGACCAGCGCCCTTGCTGCAGCAGCAGCAGCAGCAGCAAGTGCGCAGCAGCAGCAGCAGAAGCAAGTGCGCAGCAGCAGCAGCAGCAGCAGCAGCAGCAGCAGCAGCAGCAGCAGCAGCAGCAGCAGCAGCAGCAGCACAGAGCAGCAGCAGCAGCAGCAGCAGCAGCAGCAGCAGCAGCAGCAGCAGCAGCAGCAGCAGCAGCAGCAGCAGCTGCTGCTGCTGCTGCTGCTGCTTCGCGCTGCTGGGGTGCCGGCGGCTCTGCCTCTTCAAAACTGCACTTGGGGCCCCTAAAAGCTCTTATACAGCACAAAAAGATAAACAGAAATAATAAATATAAATATAGATATAAATATAAATATAAATATAAATATAGATATAAATATAAATATAAATAAAAATATAAATATAAATATAAATATAAATATAAATACAAGTATAAATATAAGTATAAATATAAATATAAGTATAAATATAGATATAAATACAAATATAAATATAAGTATAAACATGAATATAAATATAAATATAAATATAAATATTAAAAAAATATACATATATATATATATATATGTTATGAGAATGTAGGCGAATATAAATGCAAAGATTTCAGCAAAATGGAACTCTAAAATACTTTTTTGCTGCAAAAACTTCGCAGCAAAACTATTTAAAGAAGAAGAGGCAGGGGAGCCGATCCCAGGCCTCTTTGGCTGTGCCTAAGGGCCCCGGGAGTGCAGCAAAGTGCAGCAAATTGCTTGCTGCAGCAAATTGCTGCAGCAGTTTGCTGCAGCAGTTTGCTGCAGCAAATTGCTGCTGTTTCCCGGGCGCTTTGCTGCTGTTTGCCGGGCTATTTGTAAGGCCAGAGGGCAGCAAGGGGAAGCGCTAGAAAGCGGCGAAGCTGCGGAGTTAAGGCCTCGGAGAAAATTCTGAAATTCGCATTTTGCTGCAAGACATGCAGCTGTGCCTTTGTGTCTCGGGTGTAAAGACAGCCCTTGCGGGAGACAAAAAGGGAAATAATATTCTAAAATGAATTACTTAGAAGCTAAGCTGTCTCTGGCAGAAAATAAAAACTGTTTTAACGGCCGGCGGGAGAGGCGAGACGTCGTGCAGCCCAGTGAAGTTGGGGTGTATCGCCACCTCAAAGTGTAACGGGGGTAAAAAGCGGAAAAAAATAATCCTATTTGCTTCATATTTGTTTTTTAGGAAAACTTGTAGTGAAGTACTTTAGAGTTGTACTTTATAGTTCAAATCTTTCCGAGTTTCGCAGAAGTTCTCCCCGTCTGGCGGCGCTGTGCACGGTGTACGTACACCTGAACAGGTCGAGAAATACGGACTAGAGCGTCCAGAAGAGAATTTTAAAGTTCATTTATATTTAAAAAGCGAAATATATTTAATTTTAATTTTGTGGGAGCTTCGCAGCCTCAGTGGCGCGTGGGCCAGAGCAGTCGATGCAGCGGAGCAGCCAGGGTGTGCAAGTCCGCGGCTTCCGGCGCGATCTTCAGTGGAAAGCTGCACTTTTTCGGGATTTTTCGGATTCTTTTGGATTATTTTGCATTTATTTTGCATTTATTTTGCATTTATTTTGCAAACTGCTTTCAAAAATGGACGCAGAAAGCTGTTTGAGCCGGCTTTCCGACAGCCACTTGAAGGCGCAGGCCCGCGCCTGGCTGGCAGCAGACCGAAACCCCCAAACCCTCGCCCAGGCCCGCCAGCTTCTCCAAGAGGCCCCTGAAGAAGAACTCAAGGAAATCTTCTGCAAACATTTGGTCTTCGGAACTGTGAGTTTTGGCCCTTGGGGGCCCCTTGGGGGCCCCCTGGGGGCCCCCAGGGGGCCCCCAGGGGCCCGCAAGGGCAAGGGGGCCCCTTGGGGGCCCCTGGGGGCTCCTGGGGGCCCCTGGGGGCCCCTGGGGGCCCCCAGGACCCGGGGGGCCCCCAGAAGTGTGCAGAAGGCAAATTTGTAAATCTTTTGAAGAAAGAAAAAGCGCAGCTGCTGCTCTCCGCTGCAGCA